GGTGACCTGCTTGGGAGGCACTGGCCCCACGTAAAATTCATCAATCTGGAAGAGGGCACAAGCGGGGAGGAGGCGGTAAGAATAACCGGCGGCGTTAAAGAGCACGGAGGAGGGCATTAGGATGGCACAGGAGGGAGAGGGTTAAAACCTCCTGCAAACTTTGGGGAAAGAAAGCTGCCTCCGAGGCTGTAGGATGAAGAGGATGAACCCACAGCTGCTGACCGGAGCTGGCTCCCTGGCTGGAGCAGTGCTGTCAGCAGAGCCCCCCTCTGCTGCCCCCCAACCCGAGGAGAAGCCCCCCAGACACAGCTCCAAAATGTCCAAGGGATCTCGTTAGACAGATGTATGGATTTCTCGTTATCTTTATAGAACAGGATTATTGTTAAACGGTTTGCTGAATAATAATGTTAATAGGGAGACGACTGTCATTTAAACGGTTCATTAAACTGTTTGGAAGTCAGGCTACACTCCCGAGTAAACAAGAATACAAAGCAAAAGCCAAAAGTCAGGGCAGTACCTTGAATTTGGGGACAGACAGCTCCAACTCCTTAGTTTTGGTCCATATTCGCCCTATTCTGGGATCCCTGACACAATCCACAGGAGCGATTCCCGAGTTCTGGGAGGAGGAGGAGAAAAAGCACAAAACCGACAACAACAGTGCTTGAAATTTCAGGCAGAAATAAAACAAAAACATAAACCCCAAGGAAGCAGGGGCTGTCTCGAGGGAAGGGAAAAGCACACACACGCATACACACACACACGTGTCAAATTGCAATACTGCTGGGAAATGCACACGGATTGGAAACACAGAAAGAAAGCTGCAGGTTTGGGCTCCTCGTAGGGCTCCTGACAGTTGAATGCACAGTGTCAGGTGGCGGTAACTTTGGTGCCTGTCCCCCCCAGGCCCCCCTTCAGCCGTGCCGGGGGGTGACCGCGACCCGGGGAGACCCCCAGCCCCCCAAAACACCGGCTCCGACAGGGGGTGAGGCGTGCAGGGCTGGGGGGGGCACGATACAAAGGGGGAAACACCACAGCCCCCCTCTTCCCCCCCCTCCGCTCACCGGCATGCTAAAATGTTGCCCATCGTAGCGATAGAGTTTGTGCTGTCCTTTTTTCAGAGCCGGGTCAATAATCAACTTGTAACTTCTCCAATGGTGATTTCTTTTCTCGACAGAAGTGCTGGCTTGCGTGCTGTTCTCCATTCCGTTGATCCAACCTGGGAAAAGGGGGGAGAGAGGAGGGGGGGGAAGGGGAAAAGACAAAAACACCCAGAAAACCGTGAAGTTAAAAAAAAAATATATCCAACAAAGAGCCCTTTTTTTTTTTTCCCCTCTTCCTTTTTTTTTTTTTTTTTTTTTTAAAACGAGCTCCACACACACCCAGGCAGGGAGGAAATCCACAGCGAAGCGAGCCCTAAAATGGGGGAATCGCGAGCCGGGTCCCCCCCCCCCCCCCCTCTCTTCCCTCCCTCCCTTCTCCCACCCCGGCGAGACAAGAGGCAGAAAGGCGAGAGGAGGAGGAGGAGGAAGGGAAAGGAAGGAGAAAAGCCCCAGGCTCACTTGAACTCTGCTTTTTGCCATGATCCTCGGGGTGCTTGGCTCTCTCCCCCGCCTTGGTGTCTCGGAAAGACATCGCGCTGAGGCGGCCGAACCGTGCGTCTCCGGGCGGCGAAAAGGCGCAGCTCTCCCCCCCCCCCCCCTCCTCCTCCTCCTTCTCCGCCTCACATGGGGGCCGGTTACCGGCGCGGGCTGCCCGCCAGGCTCCTGCCTGCCTTTTTCGCGAGCCACCACATATTGTTGTGCGCGTGTGTGTGTGTGAGCGAGTGTGTGAGTGTGTGAGGTGAGTGTGTGTGTGTGTGTGTGTGTGTGGTGTGTGTGTGTGTGCGCTCGCTGCTGGCGGCGGCGGCCCTCCCACAATTCACCGCTGCGAGCGCCTCAACCGCCCTCCGCCGCCTGCACATTCACGGCGGGCAGCCCCCGGCCGCCCCTCAGCCGCCGAGCTCGGCCGGCATCAACACCCCCCCCCCCCCCCCCCTCGCGGCACACCCTGAGGTGATTTTTTTTTATTTTCGACCTAATTCGGGTTTTGATCGTTTTTTGAGGTTCTTCGCTGCCGGTTTAATGTGCGGCGGGGTGGTTTTTTTTTTTTTTTTTTCTCCTTTGCAGCGTGGAATCTGCCCGCTGCGTTTACCTTAGCGCTGAGTGTTTCTAAACAAGATGGACCGATAGGTGGGGACAACTTCGGGGAGACTTCGGCGAAGACCGGGGCGGGGATGGAGAGGAGGGGGGGGACACACACATACACAGAACACGGCGACACCCGGCGGGGGGAGGACACCGAGAGAGAACGGGGGGGGAGGGAAAAGAAGGAAAAAAAAATGAAGAAAAAAAAAAAAAAACGGGGCCGGTTTTGCCTATTAAAGCCCCGCCAGCCAATCAGCGGCGAGCTTCCATTTTGTTGAGGGCTTAAAGGCCGCGCGGCTGCCCCGTGCCCCCCCCTCCCCCGTTTTCCCGGTCCCCCCCCCTCCCTCTCCTTATCCCCGGTTCCCCCCCGGGGGGGGCTCGGAGCCGGGCGGCGGCGGCGGGCGCGGGGCCGCAGCTCGGGGCCGCGGGCGGGCAATTGGCTGGGGAGCGGCGGCGGGCGGGCGCGGGCCAATCAGAGCGCGGCTTGCATCGGAGCCGGCGTTCTTAGGCGGCGCGCTAAAGGCGGCCCCGAGCAGACGGCCCAGGAGAGGCCACGGGCGCGGGCGGCCATCTTTCTGCAGGGAGCGGCCGTGGCCAACTGGGCTTTTTCCTTTGTTCCACAAAGGGGGGATCCTGCCATTTGAGGAGCCACTCCGCAGGAGCGCCCAGGGGGGTGTTTAAGGTCTGGCAGCAGGCTTAGAGGAGCTCGCTGAAGAAGGAAGATATCTTTTTTTTTTGCCCTCCCCAACCCCCCTAAAAAAAAAAAAAAACATTTTTTTTTTTCCCTTATGGTTCGGGATCCATCTTTGTCTTGTGTAACTAGGTCATGGCACACCCTTTGTCAGCAGTAACAATTTTGAACGCAAAACAACAACAAAAAAAAGTAAATACATGATTTTTTTTTTCGTTTCAGTTTGGGTTCTGTTTTTTCTTTTTTTTTTTTTTTTTTTTCGAAGCTTCATAGAGCTTTGTGATGACTGAACAATAAATTTTAGAAAGTATTTCCTGTATTAAACACTTAACTCCTGGCCATTTTTATTAACTCCTCTGGTGCTTTTAAAGGTAACGTTTTAAATATAGATGTAGGAATACTGAATTCTGGCAAAAAAAAAAAAAAAGGCAATTTTACTATAAGCTTTCTTTTCTCTTTGCTTACGTTGTAAGTACACAATCCATTCTGTCCTTGCTAAGTGTAGTTTTCATGTTAATGTTACTGAAGTGGTCCTTATTTCTAAGCCTTCATTTGCATGTCTCTATGTTCTTGTCTGTTTATCTAAACCAATTTATGCTTTTGAAATATTTTACTTATAAAGCAAAATATCTACCTAAGAGATGCTTACAGCTGTTTACAACCAGTAACTGTTAACCAGGTGTTTTCACACTAACATACACAGCCTAAAATTATGCAGGAGAGCATTTTTAGCGTCTGCGTGCTCCGTGGAAAAACACTGAGCGTCCTTTTTATGTACAGAGTAAATCTGCCACGGGAACGTAGATTTAAGCCTCGAGTAGGACTCCTCGCTGCGTACGGTCAGTCAACATAGCTGGACAACGTTTTCTATAGCTTGCTTTTTGGTTGATTTTTTTCCTAATGCTAGACCACTGCCATATAAAGATCCATAACTATCTCAACAAGATCTGCTTTGACTTGCAAACTTATGAGAGAAGTGGTGATACAGATCATATATATTTATAGCCATATTTAAAAAAAAAAAAAAAGCGTAACAACTTCACCTTCAGAGCTGCATTCAACTATGGTGCGCGGGTAAGTAAACCCTTTTGCCCTTGCAGAGGAACATATAGACCAGGCCTGTGCGGCTAACGTTATTGTCCTGGGCGAGAGATCCTAATGGTCGTCTTAAGAGCGGTGGCGATCTCCTTCTCCTCAGATACATCTACAGCACATCTGAAATGTCCTATTTTCAGGGAGGGATTTCTTTTTCTGCACAAAGCGCTTGGTTGTCCGCAGCCCTGCTTTTTTTTTTTTTTTGTTTGCGGAGAGACGCCGTGAATCCATTGCAGGCATTACGTGGCTGTTCAATTGAACAAAAGAGGAAAAAAAAAATCTGCCTGTGAACTGTAAGATGTTACTGAGGTTGATTTTTAAAAAGGCGAAAAGGCGGTGGTGGTGGTGGTAGGGTTCCCTTACATGTTTATCCGTCTAATTACAGAAGCTCGACCAAAAAAAAAAAAAGCAAGTGACAAAATGGGGTGGGGGGGCTGTTTTTCAGGACGGTGAGTCTTAATGGCGGATGTCTCACTGAAAAGCACTGTAAAATCCTTCATACCGAGAGTCAGTGGGTTGGAGAGAGGGGGAAAAATGAGGTCTGGAAGTAAATCCAAAATGAGGGAGTTGCCTTCCAAGTGAGGGACCCTTTGCAGCCTGAGTTTTACAGATGGCGAGCCGTGACGCAGTTGGTAATTCACAGCAGTTGTGCTTTAGTGCAGCCACCCAGCCCACGAAATGGCCTCCCCGCCGAAGTCTGGTGGTTTTATTGTGTGAAAAGCCTGAGGAAGCACCGCGTCTCGGGGCGCCGGGAGGGGCGGCTGGCGGCGGGCAGGGCGCTCCCGGTCGCGCTCCATGTTGTGTGAGGGCAGCCGCCATCATGGCTTCTCCTTCCTCGCCGCGTTCTCCTCAGGGCTGGGGCGGCGGCGAGCCGGGTTCTCCCCCACTGCCTGCCGGCGCTGCGCTGCGATCACTGCAGGGAAACGGCTTTTTTTTTTTTTTCCCTTTTTTTTTTTTTTTCCCCGCCCCCCCCCTTACTTCCCGCACGGCTTTTGTGAGGGGTTGTGGAAGGCGAAAGCGAGGAGGGAGCGGGGCGCCCGGCGGCTTTTTCTCGCCGCCGTTGCCTCGCACAAGATGGCCGCGGCTGGGGAGCGCCCTGCAGCGGAGGGGCTGGCGGGGCTCCAGGCCGGCCGGCCGGGCGGGGAGGACAAAGGCAGCTCGCAAAATGCAGCCCAAGCCTTGGGAGCCTATAAATAACGCCGCCCGCCCCTCGCCTGCCTCCCTTCCCCCTCTCAGCCGCAGCCTGCGGCTGGCTTTTTATAAATACCAAAAGATGGAAGCAGCCTAATGCGGTGGGGGGTGGGGAGGTGGGGGGGGGGGGTAAAAAAGAGCAACAAACAACCTCCTCCTGCTTAAAAAAAAAAAAAAAAAAGAAAAAAAAAAATCAGAGGGGGGAGAAAGGCAGGCAAATGAGCTGGCCGCGGGAGGAGCAGGGCGGCGTCGCCAGGCTCCCCGCCTGGAGCGGGCTGCGCCCCGCCAACGTGCCGGGGGAGCGCGGCCGCCGCTCGTCACACGGCTCCTCGGTTGTTTTTTTTCCTTCTCCCGGGTTTCCCCACACCCTCGCCCCGCCACCGCCGAGCTGCTGCGGCCGCTGCCGTGCCTCTTGCCGCCTGCAGCCGGGGAGGAGCCGGCCCGGCCCGAGCGGGGCCGGCCTGAGGCGCCCACAGCCGAGGGCTCGCTGCCGGGCCGCCATGGCCCCGCTGAGGTGTTCCTGTTGTGCTTGGGTTTGGTGGCGTTTTTTCATCCTTGGCTTTTTTTTTTTTTTTTTTTCTTTTTTTCTTCATCCCGAGCAGCTTTCCCTGCAGCTCGCTTCGGGTGGAGGCGTGGGGTTCTGGTGCTTTTGTCTTTTCGGAGCTTCGTGAGCCTCGTTGGGGAGCTGCGCCGTGTCCTTCGTGACAAAACGAGATGGGGCAGGGCCGGGAGGGGAGCGAGCAAAACCCCTCGGGGCTGGCACGGGGGGAGGAAGGGGAGGAGGTGAGGAAGGGGAGGAAGATGAGGTGAGGAAGATGAGGTGAGGATGTGAGGAAGGTGAAGGTGAGGAGGTGAGGAAGGTAAGTGCCGCCGGGCCCCGCAGCTTTGGTTAAACCCGTGCCGTGCTGCGTGCCGAGGCTCCAGCCCTGCTGCCCTGCCAAGGAGGTAATTTCGCAACAACGTCAGGTTACGCTTTCTTTTTTCCTTTTTTTTTTTTCTTTTATTTTTTTTTCCTCCTTCCCCTTCCCACCCTCACCCCCCTCTTCGGTCTTCAGTGCTCCCCGCACCCCAGGCAGTTCGGAGCAAGCAGCAAACCTGTCTGCACAACACAACACATCTCCACCAGGAGGAAAGGAAAAAAAAAAAAAGAAAAAGGAAAACCAAACCCTCCGAACTGCTCGCAGACGGGCTCCCTTCGGGCTCTGGTGCCCCTCGGTGCCAGCAGCCCCCCCGGCAGCCCTGTGGGGAGCGCCTCGGCCTCCCGGCATGGGACGAAATGGCCGAAGCTGGCAGCACAGAGATCAGAGCACAGTGTGGAGCCGTGCCTGGGTTTGCAGGGTGGCTTCTGGTGTCCTGTTTCCTATTTGGAACTGTTGTTTTTTGTTCTTTTTTTACCACTCGCATCACGAGTTCAATCAACGTGTAAAGCGATTAAGAAAATTAGCTGATTTAAACAGCATCGGCCATTAAATTCCCTGGGATTTTAAGCTGACGTCTAAGTAGGTATCTGGATATTAACAATTCCGCATTTTAACTTAAACCTCAATTTCAGTCTATTTAACCCTGAAGCAAACTGGCTCTGCCTGACACAGCCCAGGCTTCAAAACAAGTCAGCCAGCCCATAATACTGCGGGAGCTCAGACAGCTTTGTCTGTACGTGCACCTTCCTGTGCCTTTTTCCAGGGCTGTAATCTCGGTGAGTGCTTGGTCCCCGTTGGGGACGGGTGTCCCCACGCTGCCATCCGCGAGCGGCTCCGATCTGGAGGTCCTGGAGCTGGTGCCTGGTGCTGGCAGGGCCGGATCCTGCCGAGGCGGCGAGCGGGGTACAGCAGCCCCAGTGCTTGGTGTGGGTCCTCAGCACTGCTGGAAATTGCTTTTGTAAGTCTGAACTGAAAAAATTTCTTTACGTTTTCAGGGTTTCTAAATGACTGTAATGTTCGGTGTAGCTTAAAAGTCACCCGGGCAGTTGAGACCAGTTGCGCTCCCGGAGTGGGTGGTTTAATGGCTGAAGCTCGTATTTGAAAAGCTGAGTGTTCTGGTACAGCGTGTTTAAATCCCAGAAAGGTCAAACCAGACTTTCATACCGAGTTAGATTGACCCTGGTTTACTGCGTGAGACTCTTTAGAGAAAGAAAGAGATCTTTCAGGGGAAAGGGAAAAAAAAAAAAAGATTTTTTCCTCCGAATGGCCTGTGGTGGCTCTACGCACATTCTTAAAGCAGCAGGGTTTGTTCTTGCCCACAGCGTCCCTCCCCTATATTGTTGAGCCGAAAACTCTTATGCTAATTCTTTTAGTGTCTGTTATCAATAAGAAGTTGTTTAATTTCTTTGGCAAAGTGTTGCAACTAAAGCAAATTAGATCGAGAGGCAAAGTGAAATAAAAAATATGCAGCTGCTCTGCCAAACAATGATCGTGACTGTTTACAGCGTTTTGTTTTAGACTGGCTTGTACACAGAATCCTTTATATCGAAGGTTTGCATGTCACAATCCATTGCTTGTGCAAGCAGACTAGATTAATAGCTTATAAAGGACAAAAGGGACCTAGGTTCATCTGGTTAGACTTCCTGCATTATGCAGGTCATAAGATATTTGGGAGTTGCCTTTTTTCATTTCAGAGAATTTAACAATAGCATAGCAGCGTCTTAGAAAAGAGATCAGAATTCCATTTTAAAATGGCCTCTGAGACAGAGTAAAATAAGAGTTGGCAGATTGCTTCCATCAAAATCGACCTGACAGACTGGAGATTAAGATACCTCACTAAAAGTGAGCTTTGTCTGGTTTCTGCTTTCAATTATCAGACACTGCTGCATGTCTGTCTGCTGGACTGAGCGCTCCATTACCAGGTTTCTGTCCCCGTGTAGCTGTGTACAGAGCGGTAACTGAGCATTTAGTGCTCCCTTTGCAGGCTCACAGAGCGCCCCTCGGGTCCGGATTTACCGATCCTGTCCTTGCTGCCGCTGTGCTTCCCTATGAGCTCTCCAGTTCTTCCCATTTTGATCGGGGCACCCAGAACAAGACAGAGCACCCGGTGCCGGCAGCGTGCTCGGCTGAGGTTTCTGTTACGCAGCCAGGGATTGCTCCAGCCCGTGCTCAGCTGGTTTTCCTGCACTGCTCCTGAAATGCTATCCAACCTGCTCCTTCCTGGGACAGCATCCCTGTCCTGTCGGCTTCTGCTTTGTTCTGTCAATGGCCTTGCACTTGAAAAGGGCAGTCCTGAGACAGCATTCTTGCTTGCAGTGGCCTTTTTTTATACATCCTGCTGCTGTTACCAGCCAGGTCTGTAGGGGACATGTAATTACTGCAAGTTTTCTTCTCAGCTCGTTGATGAACGCTGCTTCTGCCCCTGCTGTAGGAGTGTCCCAGTTCCAGGTGTGTGCGTGCCTCAGCCTTGCCAATACTGAGTCAGGAGGAGATCTGATCTACGCCATCCCGTGCCGCACCCAGCCCGTGGGAGGAAAGCCCAGTTAAGGAGCTGGAAGGGAGCCTGAGGCTCGCTGCAGCGTGCGCCCGCCCTGGTGACTAAAGCATAGCTATTAAATAGCATAGCTATTAAATAACACCAGGCCCGAACCAGATAGTTGCAGGACCCATAAAAGAAAGATAACAGCTGTAGGACACGGTGATTACTGCTGCACTTTGAGACGTTGTTAGATGGATTTTACTCCATGTGATCACGCCGTCTTGGTTTTTAATTCTCTACTCCTGATCATGTAAATGCTTCGCAGGGGTTGAAGTATAGCATATCAACCATCTCCTACTAGTGATACTACCTGAATCATCTAATCTTGAAGCTTCTTCAGTTTCTCTCTCAGCAGCTAAACTCACAGAGCTCTGCCCCGGTGGACTTGCAGTAGAAATCTCCCAGACTCACCTTCCAGTTCAGCTGAGCAAGCAGAAACGTGCCAGGGGCCAGCTTGGGCTGGGCAGAGTCCTGCTGCCTTTCCCCTGCAGCTCCACGGTGCCTCCTGTACCGCTCTGCTCAGCTGCTCTTCCAAGACCTAGGCATGTTTGGGGCTGCTAACCCACTGCCAAATTTGATGGAGGCTGGAGGAAGGAGGGGAAAAATGGCACAGAACTACACGGTCACGTTAGACTTAATTTTAGGAAACGAGGCTAAAAATACCGAAAGAACATTGAGGAGGAATACGGCCTGGGTATTTGCCTGTTCAGTCTTTTTTTTTTTGGCCATGACATTTTTCATTTCTTCCTAAGTACAGCAGATCAGACAGCTAGGAAATTTCTCAGCCAAAATACGCAACCTCCTGACAGATGGCACCTGTGTTCCAGCATGCTCTGAGGACGCATGGGATACAGGGACTGGATAACGACCGGGAGGTACTGGTCTGCTGTCTTGTTTCAACTGCCTGGGTACAAAGAGAGATATCTTCACACCCAACAGGGGGACAAACACTTATTTTAAGATCCATACAACTTTTGATGGACACGTTGGACATGTGCCAGGGCTGTTTTTTTTTTTTTCCTTTTCCTTTTAAACTGCATCTGTTCATTTTATTTCTGGTAGTATTATGACAAAGCCACCTCTGTAAGGTAGGTAGTGAGTGCTTTCAGAGATCTAATCATTCTTGAGCTTTAAAAGAATAAAAAAGCTGTTTCAACACCTGACTTGCAGAATGTTTTGTGTTGCTACTTGCCATTGAAATGCAGCTGCTATTGAAACGCCGTGATCCCATCAGTATGTACAACCGGTTATTGTTTGGAGCACTTTCATGCTTACAAAAATCATTAAATAAATCAAGAAGGTTGGCAATTCTAATCAACGTTTTAAAGCTGTCAAATTACTAAACATTTCACTTCATTGCTTCACGGCATAAACAGTAGGGTTTTTTAAAGGGGAAAAAAAAAGAATTACCATTTTAGAAATTCTAGCACTCACAGGGGTTGCATCAAAAGCACACAAAGACAGAGATAAGTGAGCTGGGAAGGTTTTTATGCGTTAAAATACTCATGTGTCTGGACACCTATCGTTAAGCAGCCTAAACACGGTGCTGGTTGGAGACCTGTGAGCCTTTTTAACAAACGCAACGCACGAGGGAACGTCTGATTAGAAGTGATGGAGCACCAAGCGCTACAGCCAGCAAAGCAACGACAAAGATGGAATGGAAGGAGTTCAGCTTACAAACCAGAGCATTTCCTTCTAACTGCGACACGAGATCAGAGGTGGCTTTTTGCCCTTGACGTTGTTGCTCCTGTATCAGCGAGTGAGGATCCCCATCCTGATTTGTTTTTTTTTCAGGAGGGTTGGGAGCTCAGCCCCGGTTCTGGCCAGGATGTGGGGAAGTGGCTGCCTTGCCATCCATCCCGCCTGCATAGCAGCAGCGCCCAGTTGCTAAGCAGCTGCAGAGCCGGCCTCGCTGCGCCACCAATCAGCTGTGCTAAGGGAGCAGCACGGGGTCCTCCATCGAGCGCAGAGGAGCCAGCAGCGGCCATGGTGGAATTGTTTTCTGCTTGTTTGCTGCCCTGGCTGGCTCGCAGGACCCCGAGACGAAGGAGCAGGAGCAGGGGAGGGCGAGGGAGAGGCAGCATATGTGCACAGCGGAGGTTACAAAGCCAGCAGATCTGAGCAGAGCAGGGGGCACGCGCCCAGGAGAAAGAAATGGGAGAGAGGCCAAATGCACAGTTCGGAATAGAAAAAAACAAAACAGGAGGGGAGTGCAGCATATGGAGAGGGGAAATAAAGCAGAACTTGCACAGGCTGCGAATAATTGAATAGGAAAATACAGGGAGAGAGGAAAGGAGCTTGATTCATTACTGCCCTTCACCTTGCAGAGACAGCATCACCCGGGAAAAGGAGGTGTGGAACACAACAGCGTCGTTCATGTTTCTCAACAGACTGTAGGTTTTACATTTCAACCCCTGCCATGTGGGGTTTTCTCCCTGGCTAGCCCCTGCCTTTTGTTTAGATGGGATTCCCACAGGCTCTGCTCTTACCTTTGCCTAGCTTCTGATTTATTTTCATACTTGCTTTAGCTTTCTGAGTTTGTTTGTTTTTTTTTTATATGCCTTAAAATCAAATGCCTTTTCCATATACTTTAATTGTTTTAACCTTCAAGGGGGCAGGCTGTTGCTAATGCCTAACTGAAGTTGGTCTCCAGTGCACCCACGATACCACTGCTGCTTTTCTCCCCATCTCTCCAGGAGCTGTTGATGCAGCGCAGGGCTCCCTCGGCTGCCCCGCATGCTTCCTGCCAGCACGTTGGGCAGAGTTGCTGCTCTCAGCGTGCAGAAGCGATTCCTGCAGCACAAAATGATCCCAAACTCCTGCCGTGTTGCATAAGGGATGTAAAAAACCATCACAAACATCTTCAGGGTTATTGGGACCTAAAGGAATTCCAGTCCTGCCACCCTTCAGCTGCCTGTATGCAAAAAAAAATAATAGTTCATGGTCCCAAAGCCTGACGTGCAATCGCCTGTGGGATGGGAGATGGCAGCAGAGCTGGCAGGAAGGCCGGGGACTGCCACGTTCCTCTCTCCAGCTCCTCCAGGCTGGGGACACATTTGTACGGGAGGCGTGGGGAGAGGAATCAAAGCCCTGCAGCTGTTGCCCTCTTCCCTGGCCAGCCCTGTTGGCTCAGCACGCTTTTCCCCACGTCCAAAATTGAGTCCTAAAAGGAAACTGAGCTGCCCGCCCCGACCTGCAGCGGAAAGGATTTGCTGTGCGCTCTGTGCATGTATTTCAAGCCCGTAAAATGCCTGGGAAATGCACAGCCCAGTGTGTGTACTTGCAAGATTTTGTCAGTTTAGTTTGGAGCGATTCTATTTTTGTATTCGTCTGTCCTGAGTCCTGGGCCTTTGAACGGGCGCTGCCTCTGCTAGGTCCTGAGATCATGAAAGGTCCAGGAGTGCTGACATTTTACAAGCAGCTTCAGCTGCGTGCCATGGAGGGGCATTTTTAGCACGATGAGAGACCAGAGTTTAATTAGAATGGTTTCACCAAGGAAACCTCCCTGCCCGAAGAAACCAGAGCCGCTATGTTAATCCCAGCAAGCAACTGGGAACTTCACAGCGTGCCTGCTGTCAGCGCGCGAGCCGGGAGGGGCGAAGCGCACGTAGGAAGAGAGGAACGCGCAGGAAACAAGCTCACTGCCCAGCACGGCCCCACAGAACCTTACAGCAGAAGTTACGGTGCCGCCCGAATGCAAATACACAGCAGATTTTATCTTCTCCCCAGCCTGCAGTCGCTGCTCTCCGTTGCAAGTTTGCACAAGCACCGGAGGAGAGGACGTGTGCTTAGGGCGTTATCGGCCCTTTATTTTGGTGCCATGCATCACTCTGGCCCTATTTCACACCACTGCTTTCTCTTACAGCCTGCCTGCTGTCCTTTTTTCATCCCCCAAAGAATATTGCCCATTTCCCCACATTTTGGTCCAAAAGGTTTGGGAGCTTCCTGCCTGGGGCCAGGTGTGAGAGTGACGGTTAATGATGTGCTGATTAACAGCTGCATTTGGGTTGCCTTGTACCTCACACAGCTGAAGCCGTACTTAGCAAAGGAAACCTGGGGTCATCTAAATCAGAGGTTCTCAAAAGCCTCTCAGAAAAGAGAGGGAACATACTTGGGGCTTGGTGGGATCCACCAACCAACTTCCCAGCCATGGCCATCCCCGCTGGGCTGCAGCGTTCATCCTTGCTGCACAGCCCCGGTGGTTGAGAACAGGAAAAGATGGGAAAAGTAATCTGAAAGAAGCAGATACTACAGGGAGAACCCGTTTTGGAAAAAAAAAAAAAAAACTAGCATCTTGTTGTTTGCTGGGTTGGGCGGAGAGCGAAGAGCGAGGGAATGAAATCGGGGAGGCAGCAGTCAGGGGCTGCAGGGGTGTATGTTGGAGAGGGGCTGTACGCAGGGCGAGACCACACGCTGCGAGGAAGGCCATTTACAGCCCCTTTCCCTGTGGTTTCCCCAAATTACTTCCTGGCTATTGTCAGGACTATTCTGAGCTGCAGATCTGGACACAGATGTGGATTAATTTCTCACAGTCCTGTAGCTGAGCCCTGCACTCACCCAACCACGAGCAGGCCCGTGCACCACCACCAAACCCACTTCTAATGGTTCCTATGGCAAATCCGGCCACGGCCCCCAACACAAACACAACCGGCAGAGCTTGCCTGCAGCGAGGCATTCCTTATCCTGCCAGCTTCCCTTTCAAGCCCAGAGGTGGAGGATGAGATCCAGCATCCCCGTGCCAGTGCTGACAAACTCCTCGCCATGCCAGCACATCCGAGAGGCGCACGATGCCCAGCTCCGCAGGGGCAGTTGGGGTGCTGTTAGCAGATACTCGTTCATTTCTTGCTTTTTAGAAACCAGTCCCTGCGCTTGATGTTCCCGAAATGCACAGGATGATCTTAACCTTGTTTTACTCACTTTTTTCCAACAGAATTTGGTTGAGAATTTACGCTTCAGTGAGGAATAGAAGACTTGAAAGTGCTCCTAAGCACCCACTGCATCAGGCGGAGACGCTGCGATGTTGATTTACACTCTTCAAATCCATAGATTTTATTTTTATTTTCCACAGCTGCAAAGCCAGGAACTTGGGTTTTAGTGAAAGGTGAGATCCAAAATACTGGCCATGTACATATCAGATAGGAGAAATTTGGCCCATGTAGTTGGCATCGTGATTTAAAGCCTACTGGAGAAAATAACCCAAGAAACAGAACGCGTGCCCTATAAATAGCTACTCTCTAGGTAGCAGTCAAGCTGTGGTTTATGAACAAAATCAGTCCAAATTATCTCACAGTGCCCGAATATTCATCGCCTGGTTTTGCTGAGTTGCGTGTCTCATTTGGCCAACGCCTCCTGTTACAGACACTTGTCCTGTTTTCTTTCCAAGCCCTCTGAGCTCTATGGTAGCATTTGGACGGATTTTGTGTAGAGTTTATTGAAGGATTTTTGCAGTGATTTAGTGCACGGGCTGGTGGAGCCAAGTGAAACAGGAACTTTATTCCTCAAGCATGAAAAGGCAGAAAGGGAAATTTCTTACTGAAATATAATTTTTCCACGTTACTTAATAGTCTAGAAAGTTAATACGTTTTTATTGGGGAAAAAAAAATACAGTTCCTACTGAGCCAACCAACAATATAATAACGTTTTAGAAACCTCTTAGAAACTGGCAGGTGTCACAGGCACCTTGCCTTCAGTGAAAAAGGCAATTGAGACCCCTCCTGAAAAAAGGGATTTGCATCAGTAGGGGCCACTACACAATAACCAGGCACATGGCAAGGCCTGAATAGACGGTGAATCATGTGGCCCAAGGGATTTTTCTGGATTTTGGGGGCGGGGGTGTGTGTGTAAAATATCAGGCCGCGAGGACCAGATGGTAGAGCTCTGCATGTGCAAGAGAAACAGCAAGAAGCACGACAGAAATGGATACTGAGAAGCAGCTGAAAGTCAAGGAGGCCGGGAGCTTTGATTTTGAAAAGAGATTTCCTGTGCGGAGCGAGGGCCGAAAAAGGCTTGGGGTTGTGAGCAAAAACACAATTAAAAAAAACAATTTTGTACAGCTATTCTGTAAATAAATGGATCTGACTTGAGTACGTACTTGGCTTTGTCATAGCAGGCTCTTCTTACGCTGACAGTCACCAGGAACTCCTTTGTGTGTGCAAGGTACAGTTCACCTCTCCTACATTATAGAGTTGCCCCTTCCCTATCTGCCCTGTCAGTTCACACGGTAAATTCTTATGGGCAGAGGTTATTCTTCACATTTTGTGCATTACAGACAATTGCAGCACTTGTATAACATCTGAAATTTACTGGAAATTTGCTGCACTTACGTGGTAAGTCCCAGTCTTTAGGGCCTGTGTTTCCCATTGAGATTACAAACTCCTCAGGGCGTTATCCCTTGCTCTGTGTGCACACGGTGTAGTTCAGTGGGAGTTCAGCACTGACGATGCAATTATTATCACTGGTAATGTTCAAAAATGAATATTTAAGGCACTGTCTCATTATGCACATTTTTAACTAAGTTTATGAGTATTTTACACAAATGGGACTATTTCTTAACGTTAAATCTTTGAAAAGCTGTCATCTGTATTATCCAGTAGAAAGTTCTTGAGTGTATTTCAAAAATGTACAGACACTAGAAGGCACAGGTCCCCGTTCTTGTCTACTTGACAGTACAATATAAACTAATAACAGGAGTATACAGCAGATGGCGTTTGCTGTTACCGCTCTCTGCAGTTGTGGATATAAGGAAGTCCCAGCAGTCTGACACCTTGCTGGCTAGCTAAAATCATTGTATTTTCCATTAAAAATATTATTGTAAGGCATTCACATCAGCCTGAGGGCATATGCTACAGAGCCTAAGTGACTGGAAACTTGGAACTCCAGCAGTGCTCAGAGTTCCCCAAACAGAAAAATGTTGCTAACAGCATTTTGTCACACCTGTTATCATATTTACTATCTAAAACACTATTCTGGGAGCAGAAAAAATTACCTTTATGCTTCTCTTCCTCCACTGGGCTTTCTGTAGTCACAAACTCCATGCCCTTTAGTATTATTAAATCTCAGTTTTGTTGCCTTTTTCAAGCACGTTACAAGGGATGGAGAGGGACAGGGCACGAGCACTGTTTCCTTAGGTGGTGAGACTAATGGTACACCTGAATTTCCTACATGGTCACAATCAAACTGGCCAGGAGGTTGGAGCACTTTTCTCTGGGTGGTATTTTGCAAAATATCATCACCCTGTATTCTAAAAGGTTATAGCTTCAATATTAAACCTAAACTGCGAGTTGTTTTCAGGTATCCTGATAGCTAACCCAAATTACCCATCAATACAACCTCAACCATTAAAACATCTTTTAAAAATCGTACGCTTCCAGCAGTTTTCCTAGGCAGTGTGCTAACCTTTCTCTCTATTATTCTCCCTGGCAATTGTGAAGCAACAAATAGGTACCCAGAATGGAACAGAGATATTTACCATACCCCACTGCATTCTTGATTTTGATGTGCTCGCTGTGAATCTCTGCACGCATACTGATTCTCAAGCTGCAGATGTGCAAGCTTTTGATGAAACAGAACTTGTGCCAAAATCAATATACAGGCCAAAACAAAAGTAGGAGAAGGACACTTGCAATTAATTGTGATTAGATTTGAATTTCGCTAATAGAGGGTTGAATCTTCTTCCATTTAAGTCAGTGGCAGAATTCCATATTAGATTTTACTTTTTCAGTCAGCAAAATGCACTTAGCTTTTGCATGGGACTTTTTCTGCTTGAAGCACTGCATACCCATTAATTAAAAATAAGTAACCGAGACACTGAAATGCTGTATTTTGTCAATACTAGGATACCCCACCACAAATAGAACATCCATTACTTAAAAAGAGGCTTTGGAGAGTTTACAGTTGATTTTATAGTCTTCTCATTTTAAATTGTTTGTTCCCAAATCTAAAACTGTACGAATCTAAAGTGTCCTTAACTACAAAATGTACAGAATGAGAAATGCAGAAAATATTTTGTTTTGTGAGACTTGGAAAAAATTAAACAAACAAAAAACTAACAATGTAACAGTGATGCACAAAATACTTTTATCCCCGCACAACTTTTATGGCAATTAGTGAATTGAAAAAACCCTAAAGGAGGAAGATGAGTAAGTCTATCTGTTGATCATACCACACTATGCCATTTGTTTTGAGACAGGTTCAAAGAAATTACTTCAGGGTAAACCAAATCACTCCCGGGCCATTCATTCCTGTGCACTGGGAATACTGGAATGCCCTCAGCCACTGCAGCCTACAGGAGCTGACAGATTTTACTATTTTGCTGATAAGATATCAAAGATATTCTGTGTATTCTACATGCTTCTGTCAAAATTTCCTCAGTAAAAATGATAGCTTTAAATAGGTGTGGATTTGGCTACCTTTTTATTATTATTTGGAATTCTGTGACACTTTATTGGTTATTTAAGTGTCCCTCCTCCTTTCTGTCACTGCAATATCCTTTCCTTTCTTTCTGTTTGCCCTCTGCACAAAGCAGGGCCTTTCTTTGAGAGAGGTTATTCCAAGACACGAGGAGCACAATCACGTTTTGCATTCAGTCTGGAAGGCCATCTAGTGACACAACTGTGCAGAAGAAAATGTGAAACACTGAATTACGATTTTTCTTCACTGAATTAAAAAAACCCTCTTGCTACACTCAGGCATAGCATACCCTTGGGGATTTGTTAGTACTCCCACAAGTAGCATTTCAAAAAATTCTAGAGCCAATTTGGATTTCTTAAGAAATGATGGGGTTTATTTGAGATGGCACATACTGTGTATCTTTTCCAGGAAAGAAACAACACAATTTTTGCACAGAATGGTGTCAGATTTGCATCTGAGCAGTTCAAGTGCTCTGACAAACGCAGTCACCCCCTGAAACGTGGACTGGGGCCAAATTCACCTGGCGGTTCCAACTCCCTGCCTTTGCACCTGTAACTCCACGGTGGGAAGTAACGCTACAAGTAGGTGTTTACAGGCCTGATATCTCTGTAATTAAAACGTGAAATTGTTTGATTTTTATCACAGCTCACCTGGAATGAATGGCACCAGGTGAACACACAGTGAGCAGAGCTGCTGGTTCCTACTTGAGCAGTAAATCATAGAACCATTAAGGTTGGAAAATACCTCCAAGGTAATGCAGCAGAAAGCAAGTATTTAGCCACAATATCTGCCAGGCCCACAAGAAGATGCATTTTGAGGGTACCTCAGGGGCATCTTGCCTTCTCCGCCACTGCCTTTCCCTCATCCATCGTTGTTCAGGTGTGTGGTGGCCAAAATTGCGGCTGAACCAGGAGATTGCCCCTCAGCTGCTGGTGACTTGAAGCAAACCAAGGCGGCATCTGAGGTGCCAGTGGGTCCCTGTGGAAACGAAGGAGCTCTGAGAGGACACAGAGAACACGAGCCCAGCCTGATTTAGACGGAGGCTCCATGGGGTGAGGCACGATGGCTCCCAGTTGCCCACCAGCAAGGCCTCGGTGCCTCACCTGGAGGATGGGGGCACCAGGTCCGTGTGAGGAGAGAGGCAGGCGGGAGTGCTGAGGGGGCTCTGGGTGCTGAGGGGGCTCTGGGGGCTGAGGGGTCTCAGTGTGCTGAGGGGGCTCTGGGGGCTGAGGCGGCTCCAGGGGCTGAAGAGGCTGAGGGGGCTGCGGGTGCTGAGGGGGATGAAGGGGCTGTGGGTGCTGAGGGGGCTGCGGGTGTTGAGGGGGCTCCGGGGCGTCGTGGTCACCGCCCGACGGGTCCCCGCTCCCCTGAGGAGCCGCGGCCCCTCCTGACGGGGCTCGGCGGCGGCAGCGCGGCCCCAGGCGGAGCCCGGAGCCACCTGAGGCGCTGGCGCCCGGGGCGCGGCCAATCCCCGGCGGGGCGCGGGCGGTGCCTCACGGCCCCGGGGCGCCCGGAGAGCGGCGGCGGCGGCAGCGTTGGGCGGCCCGGCGGGGCTGGAGCCCCCGGCTCGGCTCCGCTCCCCATGGAAGCGGCCAACGGGGCCCTGGCCGACGGCGCGGCGGGCAGCAAGGGGGGAGGAGGCTCGGGCAAGAAGGAGGTGAAGGTGGTGATCGTGGGGGACGGCGGCTGCGGGAAGACCTCGCTGCTGATGGTGTACGCCAAGGGCGCCTTCCCCGAGGTGAGCCTCGGGGCTTTGCTCGGCTCCTTTCCCTTCCCTCCTGCCCTCCCCGAGGAACCCCCGCAGGGCGAGGGGCTGGGGGCCGGTGGCTGGGCTGAAATTCTGTGGGCTCCTGGTGGGTTTGGAAGGGGTGAAGGAGCCCCGGGGAGCTTGAAAGTCCCCAGGGAGCTTGAAGGGCTCCAGGGAGCTTGAAGGGACCCAAGGAGCTTGGAGAGGCAGAGCAGGGAGCCCACCACCAGGCCCTGCTGGCCCTTGGCATCGTGCGTTGCTGTTCCCTAAACAGAAATATTTTTCCCCTTTGCAGCAATATGCGCCGTCCGTGTTTGAGAAGTACACCACCAGCGTTACGATTGGCAAAAAGGAAGTCGTCCTGAACCTGTATGACACCGCAGGTAACGGCGTCTATTCCCCGCGCTCTCGATTTTCTAGATGCTGAAGCACCAGAGGCAGCTGATGCAGGGCCCTGGGACGGGGCTGCTTTGGGACAGTAACCGAGTAACACGTAAAGGTGCAGCCGAGGCAGAGCGGTCACTTCTCTGGTGGCAGCTCTACCCTTGGACTTGTTCTGTATCTTAACAACCCAGTTTAGTAGGAAAATCACCTCAAATAGCGAACATATCTGAAGGTATTAGAACATAGCTCCCGAATGCAATGCGTAATGCAGTCAACCCAGAAAATATTTTAATCTCCTGCCATGTGTGATAAAATAGTAAAGGAGAAAAAAGCTGGCTTGTGTTTTAAAAAAAGGCTATAGTGTTAAAAGTTAATTGAAAATGCTGATAGTTCCTTTGTGTTCATATAAGGAACTTGTGAACTGATTTGTGTCCAACTTCATTCAAAGTTCTCTGGCTCGGTTGTCCAGCTGCATTCCTAAACGAGCCCTAAAATTGACACACACTCCATTTCAGCTCACTAAATCGCATTCAGGTCTGCAGAGTTGTTC